TGTAACGTTTTTGTCATATTCTTTCTGCTTCAGAACAAACATTTCTTCTTTACCACAATGACAGATTCAGACAGTTTATAAAAAAATCTGTTTCTGTATGGAACCTTTTTCCCAATTATGTAATTCTCTTCATGATCAAAGAGAATAAGCGCAGACAAGAATCTGACTACTTAATTAAAATGTACTGTGTCCTGAACATACTGAATTAAGTCCCTATTTCCATGCAAATTTAACATAAAATAAAATGTTCAAGAGATCTTGTCTGCTTTTGATATTTTTAATGTCTGAACCTAATATATATAAGAGAATAATGGTTTACTAGAATAGTTTAATAGTAATAAAAAGCTTATTTGTTAACGTTAACGTTATTTGTTTGATATATTTTCTTATTTGTTTACATGCCATAAGCCCTCCACATTACTTTTTTCATATGCTACCATAAAAGTTGTCATCCTTTGTTCTTTTTCCAGCCTTACATCTTCCTCTGCATTTCTACTTCTTTCTGGGGAAGACCCACTGAAATCCCAGAGGTGTGTGCCTGAGTGTCTGCACTGTAACTCTGAGTCATCATAATAAGTCTGCTCCAATTCTGTTTGCAGGTTGTCATTCCACTGCCTACACTGCACCACTCACTGTCTCTCTCTCTCTCTCTCTCTCTCTTTTGAAGGTACAGCACCAGAAGTTAGGCAGTATCTCTAAAACAAGGACTTGCAAAATACATGTAAATATGTACGTGGATTTGTCTTTGAAAATGTTGATGAATGTAACCAAATATTCTAAGACAAAAGGTCCAATAGCTTTCAGGTGTTTTAGGTGGATCTTGTGGTTTTCTTCAGCAAATGCAGCTGGCTCAGGTGTCATCACATGATCTAATGTGTAATCATTCAAAGCCAGAATAAAACTGGTTCATGCTTTCTGTTTGGATTGATTAGAACAGTGAACAGCTTGACGTGATTGACCTTGATATTCAGGATTTTCACACTTTGATGAAAATTATGCTTCTGAAAAAGACACTGTTTAGATGGCGAATTGATGAAAATGCTGCTATTGTGGCCAGACAATCCAGCTACTCTGTTTTTAGTTCAACATTAACCAGGCACTTGGATCAGGGTTCATGTCTTACATCTGGCTGACAGACAGTAGTACATACACAAACTAGTATTCTCAAACAACCAAAGCAGGAAGACAAATAATATCCACATACGAACATTGTGATGAAATTGTCAAATTCATAACTTATATAACTTAAAAGGCCGATGTGTAAAAGGTAAAAACAGAAATGATTTCCAGTCTCATTACAGCAGTTGAATAAGCTATTTTGAAGAAACCCAATCCACCCTGTATATATGCATTACATTAATGCACTCCTGATATCTGTACAATTTCTTATCTTTTCTTATCTTTATTTATTTATATTTTTAAAAAAGTACTTTATTTCTGGGTGATTTGTATATTTTATGCACCAATTCACCAAGACGAATTCCTCGTATGTGTAAAAACCTA